TTCACGTGCTGTGAAAAATTTAGTACAGAAACTGACGAAAGATTTCCCACCATATTTGCTGTAAAGTAATCGCGGATTTAAAACTAGAATTTCAAAAGCGTTTTTCTGATCTTGACATAAATTCAAGGGAAATTCGGCTGTTTCAAAATCCATATGACTGCAACGTTGGCGACGTTTCAAGTCAGTTTCAAATGGAAATAATTGATCTTCAAGCTAGCGATCAAATCAAGAACAAATACAAGGAAGGAAACTTGATCGATTTTTACAAATTTTTGGACGCAAAAGAGTTTCCAAATTTAAAGCAATTGGCTGGTAAATTTATTTCTATGTATGGCACTACCTATATGTGCGAACAAACTTTTTCCAGGATGAAGTATCTGAAATCTAAATATAGGGCAAATTTATCGGATGAAAATAATTGGTGTTTCCGATTTGAATCCCAACTTTGAAGAAACTCTCCAGGAAAAAACCCAGTTCCACCATTCCCATTAAAAATTGCATGAAATAATTTTATAATAATATAATTTAGACATGTTTGTTTAGTATTGTTATATCTGTAATTTACTATAAAAAAAATAAAATTCAATGCTGCTTTACTTGTAATAAGGTTTTTTAATTCACATATTTACAATGCTTCGGGGGCCAAGCCAAGCTAATGAATTTAAATACCAAACTGGCCCTCACAGCAAAAAGTTTGGACGCCTCTGATCTACGCTGCTATCAATTATCAATATAAACATATCGATGCGAATAATAATATTAATGTTGTTGTATGATTATGGAAGGAATTTCATATATTAAGATCAATGATGATGTTTTTTTTTCTGTTTGTTTGGATAGGTTGGGCCATTGCGGCGGAAGAACGAGATTGGAAGTACAGGCTTTCGGTTTACTACGCGAAGCCGCAGGATTCCGGGACGTTCACGTGCGCCACTCCGAGAGGCATCACTAATAGCCTCGTCCTGCATGTGGCAGGTACGAAACAAACAAAACTTTCTTGACCCATGGGGATTCTACTCTGAGTGTAATAGCGAGACGGCTGCGGTGGCTGCATATTATATAACAATCGGCAGTGGGGGTGTGGGTGATTTTGCTAGAGTACATAGATCGATAGGAAACGTGCTTGGTTTGGTTTAATATGTTTGTGTGTGTGTGGTAGGAAGGAGTTAATTAATCAATTGGGGTTTGCAGCCGTGCATTGCGAACCAATTTCCGTGTCCGGAATGCATCTCACCGTCCGCATCGAGGGCACCCGATTGGGTCACACGGCCCTCTTCCAGTGTCCGGTGGGCTTCCGGGTCAACGGGACCGCCAATCTGACGTGCCAGGCTTCCGGTATTTTGGTATTTCACCCCGCCAGAACCACCATCCTTTGATCATACCCTTTCAGGTAAATGGTCTTCGCGCGTTCCCACCTGCGAGCCGGTGCTGTGTCCTTCGTTGGATGGTCCTCTGCCCGAGCCGCACTTGATGCTGGAGGAGCACAACTCGACGTACGGTGGTCGAGCCGTCTTCAGCTGCGCCTGGGGCTACAAACTGCAAGGACCTCCTGGAGTCGAGTGTGAATTGAACGGCAATTGGTCTGGACCTCTTCCGAAATGCGTTCGTACGTATTACATAAAAATGAATTTAAAATTATAAATTTGAATAATAACCAAAATCAATGCAATCACGATCTGTTTAGCAATCCAATGTCCACCGCCAATAATCCCATTCAATGGGCACCTAATCCACTCTGAATCGGCGGGAATGGATGGCGGAAGGTACGCCGTGGGAAGTCTGGTACAATTCGCTTGCCGAGGATCGCACATGCTGGAGGGAGAGGCGAGCATCATCTGCACCGAAACAGGCTACTGGTCGCATCCTCCGCCCTTCTGTAACTATATCCCAAAAAAGCTTAAATCTCAAAGAACTAATAACTTTTCTTCAGGTAAAACGAGGTGTCCTTACATGGGAGAACCTGAGAACGGCGCAATGGTACCTACGAAATTCGCGTACGAACCAGGGGACGAGCTGCAGGTCACCTGCAATCCCGGATTCGAATCGCCTCTCGGTGCTCGACCCAAATGCCAGCAGGATGGAAGCTGGACCATCCCGTTACCGCATTGCACAAACTATTCGCAGATCTAAGAGGAAATACATATAAAGTCACAACATTTTTGTCTAAGGAACGAAACAAAGAAAACATATACTTCGAAACATTTGTAAATTATATATATAAATATTATGAAAAAGAAGAAATGATTATATTTATGGAACAAAAATAAATCCAATACGCGATATTTGTTGTAACGAAACAAGGACACCTTTGTTATATATAAATATTATATGAAGAAAATGAAGAAATATATATATATTTAAGAACAAATTCTTTGATATCCAGTGATATATTTGTGTAGATTATAATCATTACAACGACTGTTAAGTCAATAAGGAATTAAAAATTATATTTGTATTTGATATATATATATATTATAAAGATGAAATAAATATATATGTATAGAATGTGAGAGAAAGATAATTAAAGGTATTAGAGTGTAAAGAGAAAAAAAAACAGAGATAAATAAATGAATAATTAAAGCTGCCTTTAAATATTGTTGTTTCCATGTAGTCAATTTCAAAATGAACAGATAATTGTAAATAATTTATTTCATAGGGGAAAATATGCATTTGTAAAATTTTAATAAAGACAAAATTAATTATTACACTTTCCGTTGTCTCACTCACAATTTAATCCTATTGTAACGCGCATCTTTCCGTAACCATAGAGAACAAATGATAATTATTGATCAAACTTAATTTCACGTCAAATTTAGTTTTCTTGTGCTCTATAGCAGATTATTGTTCTTGAGGTAAGATACTTGTATAGTAAGCAATTATTATTGAGTTAATGTAGTGATAACAGATGGACGTTTCGAAAAAGCATAAGAAATCTAAGAATGGAGAAAAGTCGAGGCGCAAGGGAAGATCGAAGAACTTGAGGAGAACGGTGGATTTCTTTACGGATGCGGCAATGGATAACGCCTATTCTACCTGTCATAGCGTGCAAGAGCTTCTCTTTAGATGCGGCTTTGTTTGGGCACAAAACCAAACCACGAAAAAGAAGAGAGGAAAGAAGTAAAAGGACCATCCAAATAAATACTGAAGAGGATGTTGTTTAACTCTTGCTTGTTGTTGTGCAACAAAACATGAGTTATTAAATTAAATAATTGGTAATTATCTGTTTAGAAGACTTTCCCTCTTGATTGATCAATCGTGAGGCGCTTGATAAGTGTGAAAATAAACAAAAATAATAATAGTAAACGCTTATTTTAAACTTTTATTTGTTTGATTTTTTTTTGTGTATAAATTTACTTCTTGGCGACCTTCTTGCCGGTCTTAGCTTGTCTCTTGGCCAGAACATTCTTCTTCAACGGCTTGGGCTTGTTGGAGCTGGTCTTGGACTTGCCGGTAAGGTAACCTTGCCTGTGAGCGGTTTTCCTCAAGATGCAGTAAGCGCGAGTCCTCAACTTGTTCCTAGCAGACCTGGCAACTCCCAACCTGAAGCGGTCGAAGTCGGTCATCGAGTTACGCTAAAACGAAAATAAACGAAATCAGTCACAATGTAATTAATTGGAAAATAATAAATAACTTACCAAAACATCCTTTTGCAAATTGTTGGCCCATCCAGTGGTGCCAAACTTCTCGGTCACTTTAGCATCTTCCCAAGCCTTCTGTACAATTTTTGTGCTGGCGTTGAATGGGAATTTGATTGTCAGCTTGGTCAAGTGGATCTGCTTCAACCTGATGGCGCAACGTGGGACACCGGTTGCTGGTCCATCAACCAAGACCTGCAAAGAAACAACAACACACGATCACAACCTAAGTTCACTTTTTTTTGGTAGAGGAAAAGTATGACTTACCCTGGTTTGGTCAATAACGTCAACGATAGCGACCAATTTGTTTTTGTATTCGCCATCGGCGACGAGGGCGATACGGCCCGTTTCGACAAATCTGCTGAAAGGCTGTAAACAGAGGAAAACATTGATGAGAACAGAACCTCAAATATCCACAACACATCATCCATGCATGGACACTTTCATCTTGTGGAAATTAAGTAAATACTATGGTTTTTCGTGTGAAATCTATTGCTGATCTCTTTATAGTTCGATTCTCGACGAATTTCACTCAAAATACCATTTAAATATATGAAAAACTCGAAAAAAACTCGGGAAAACAGAGTATAACAACTTACCATGTTTAGCGGAAACGAAGAAAGAATGATGGCGTACGCGCAAACGGATATTACGAATGAGCTGCGCGCACATCTACCAACATGAGGAAAATAAACTGAAGATAAACTGTTATTAACTGTTAAATCACAGATATAATAGTTAATAATGTATTAAAAATATAAATAAAGCTATTTTACATATTAATAAATACATATTAGTGTATAATTTTGATTATTTATACATATATTTGCAAGAAATAAAGTTATTGAAAATGTGTATATTGGGTCACCTACATTACGATATTATCAAATTTTTCACACATAATATTAATTTTATGTACATTTTAAAGTTAACAATAAAAATAACTAATATTTAATTAGTAGAAACAGAACTAAGACTAATTGTCCAACTTTAGAGATGTAGCAATTATTAGTTTGTAATAATAGTCTTAAATCCAAATCTGTAATTATCAATATATTATTTGTGGAGTAAGGGTAGGATTTATTAATTATATATTGTTAATTAATAAGTAGTCAAATGATTTGGTAGTAAATAAAGTTAATAAAGAGATTTATATCAATTATTGTTTTAAATCTCTGGCCTCGATTCAACTTTTTCGTATCAGATTTTCGTGATACAGCCTACGGCCGCCCCGAAATAAAATTTAAAGGTAAAGAATAGAAAACAAGACAGATTAAATTCATATTAAATTTATTGATAATAAAAAATATAACATCTATAGAAAAATTGTTAAAAGCACTTATTATCATCATCATCGAAATCACATACGTGTGTGGAGAAACCCGAACGTTATTCATCGAAAGGTATGAAAGCAGGTAAATTTCCAACCTTCGGTCTATCCATAAAACTCTTGCCTTCACCAACAGCTTCATCACAGTCATCAATAGTATCACCCGCATAGTACCTAGCGACCTCGACCTTTTCGACTTTTTTCGCGACATCGACGCGTTTTCGTTTCGCTAATTGCTCTACCTTTTTGACCCGTGTGCTTCTAACAATTTTGTTCACCAACTTATGCTTATAAAGTCTTACCACACTTCCATGAGGGTAGGGGCACTGCTTTTCATTGCACTTTCCATCGGCCTCGAAATTCGGACAGATGAATTGATGCTTCTTGACGCACTAAAACAGAACCACATTATCATACACATATTATGTCCGAGAAAGTTGCTAACGTCTCTTCCCAAGGTACAGAAGCCTTGGAGGAAGTCTTGGCAGATCTTCGCGTCCTTGCTCAGCTTCACGTGCAGATATTGGCAGTTGTCCTTCCTACATTTTCCTTCCAAATAGAATTTGCAGGTGGGCATTTTCTCGGACGATACTTTGTGCGAGAGCGGGCAGTCCAGACGAACACAAGCGCCTTGCAGGAACCTACGAATCCATAATTTCTCAATCATCATTCAAACATTATGTTCAACTCACTTAATGCAGATTCTGATCTGATCCTTGTTATGTCTCTTGAAACATTTACCCATCTTGTACTTTTGGCAGACCCCAGTCTTTCTGAACACCACACAGGGCATGTTGTCCTTCCTCAGAGCAGCCTTATTCAATTTACTAGAATTGCAACAATTAACACATACAATTTTAACAAACATTGATTGATTTTAACTTACACACTATCACATTTTCTGAATTTAACATAAGTATTAGCGTCCTTTTGCACATATGTTGAACCTCTGATAATTATTTGGCTAAGTTTCCTGTAGTAATTTGTACTTGTTGATATCAGATGAAGACTTTGGTAGTTTGTGCTGAATTTGAAGACGCGTCCTCTAATTTTGATGAACCTAGAGAGCGGCGCCTTCTTTGTAATCAGTTTAGGTTTAATTATCTCTCGTCGTGGATTCAAGTTCATCATATGCGCCTTGATCAGCTTGTATCTAGTCCTGATAATCTTGTTCGGATCAATGAACCTCCTGTCCAGTTTAAACATGCTGATAAGTCCATGATTGACGTCAACCTGTTGCTTTTTCCTGTAGTCCAACTTGAACTTTGTTTGCAATTTCGGCGATCTCGCGGCGACATTCGTACGAATCAACTTGTACTTGGTTCTGATAACTTTCTTTTGGATGGCAGGTAATCTGATGAACTTGTTCTGCGTTAAAATCACTTTGGGTTGACTGTAGCTCTGCACAGCAACATTAATTTTCTTTGTATTCGTATTTACAAGATATTCAGGTAGACTTGGTTTGGGTGCTTTTGCAACTATAGGTACATTGATCTTTTTCGTCGTAGTATTAATTATATAATCAGGTTTGTTCACCTTCTTTATCACAGGAGCAACATTCACCTTTTTCGTGTTTGTGTTTACTATAAATTCAGGTTTACTTGCCTTCTGGATTACAGTCGGCTGCAGAACATTGGTTTTGCTGTTCTGCAGTACGGATGGATTGATGTGAACGTTTCCATTAAAATTCGGATTGATGTGAACTTGCCGTTTAAAATTTGGATTAACGTGCACGTTAACAGGCATTTGGTGAGGCGTAAAGTTCTTGTTAATGTAAATTTTCCTCATGTGATGATTATGGTTAACGTAATAACCATTAGGATCCGGATTCGTCACTAGAAACGGACACTTTGTACAGTAAATTAATGCGAGAGATTGATCAACTTACGCAAATTTGTTCCTTCATGGTAATCATACGGGTATGATGACATCTTTGCATTAATATGGATTGGAAAGATTGTAAACTGCTTCCAAGAATTAATTTAAAAAAAAACAATGGAGACCACACTCCTTTGATATTCCTATCAACTGTTCAATGAAGCTGTTGCAAAGACCTGAAGTTGTCTATTATATCAGAGTTTCTCAAACTATTACTGTCTCCATATTAGGAAAGCACAGAACGCGCTATTACAATACTATTAATAGAACATTCCGTGGATTGTGGAAAACAATTCAATACATATATCTTTAATATCATGCAATAATCATTATTATTTAATTGGAATTGATGTTATTGTATATCCAACAAAAAGATGTTAAAGTTACCAAAGGGAACCAATAATTATGACAATAACCTATAATATTATGAATAATAAATTTATATATGATCTGTATAATATGGCTTGAATTGGAGAGAAAACCTTGAAATAGCAATTTATGTTTTGGTTTGTATAATTTACAAAGTCCGTGATGGCCCTAAGACTATTGTGCAGAACAGGAAAGTACACAAATTTTATCCATGGCACTACTCATTACTCCAATACTAGGTAAGTTTGTGCAAGAAAATTTTCAACTACTAATTTTCGCCACTTGCAGATTGGCTAGTATTTCCAACAAGAAATCCATCTACAAGAAAGAAGAGACACAGAAGTTCGGCTTCTTTGTTGTAAAGAAGTATTTGCAATATGTGACAAAGTATGAGCAGATTTTGGCCAAGCGCTTTCCGAAGGCCATGGATGTATATAAGGTGATAGTGATGGGCGTCAAGGATTTCTACACAGACGTCAAGCAGTTTGTGAAAATCATTAAAATAATGAATGCCCCTGGGAACAGTATAAGCACTCTGACCAGGAGGGAGATTGAGTTGTACAACAAAATGCCTAGAGACATGCTTAAGATTGCTCCAGTTTTGATCATCTCTGCTCTGCCTTTCGCGAATTACGTGATTTTCCCGTTGGCTCTGATGTTCCCCAAGCATCTGTTGACGCACCACTTCTGGAACAAAGATCAGAAGCAGGAGTTCAGAATGATTTACTTGCAACGGCAACTGCGTTTGAATTACGTTATCTATCAGGACCTAATGAATCAGTTGGAGACCAGGAAGAAGTTCTACCATGTCGCTCATATATTCGAAGAGATGGAGAAGGGAAGACCCATCGACGTCAGGGATTTAATCCTTTGCAAACAGGAGTTCATGGAGAAGCCCTTCCACTTGATCTATCTACGTCACTCACACATTGTAAATATCACAAGTTCATAGAAGAAATTCTTTGCGGAAATTTAAATTTTTCGATTTCTTTTAGAAACATTTAGTCAAATTTCACCGGCTCCATCGCGGATTCTTCAGGAGAGTCCGTTTAGGCGATTACGCTTTGTTGCTCAAGGCAATGGATCGCGCTATTCTGATGGAAGGCGGTGTTCACAATTTACCAAAGGAAGCCTTGAAGGACGCTTGCGTCTTAAGAGGTAAAACATCTCGATTCAAAGAAAATATGGAAAATGTATTATTATTAATATTTTAGGTTTGAATCCGACCAATTTGCAAACGGAATACATGATCGATTACATGAAGGATTGGATCAGGCTTTCCGAGGCGGTAGACGCGGACTCTCTAAGCTTACTGCTTCACGCTCCGATATTCCTTGGCTACAGTCAGGCCTCGAACATCGAGCTGCTTAACACCAAATTGGATTAAGATCTAAGGACAAATATGCGGCCACCACGTGATATTAAATGATAAGCGTGCGTGCATTTGCGCGTTTATCGCAAAGTGATTTATTTTAATTGAAACCAAGGGAAAGTAATAGTTAGGATTGAATGAATAAATAACGTAAAGTAAATTTGAGTTGACTGACTCACTAACTTAACATCGATAGTTGTTATTACATTACATTGCACTTGGGTTGTCTTTTTTGTTCCGTCTGAAATTATGATTTTCATCATGGTATTTATTTTCTATTGTTGTTTCTCTCGTTGCTTTTTCAGGCATTTGTTTTTATTTATTTGTTAATACAATAAACACATTTATTACATACTGATCGATGCTTTATTTCTAATTTAATAATAGTTTAATTTGAAGATTTTCAAGCATTTTTTTGCGTTGATTATTTAAAACTTATTAAAAATATATACTGGAAAAAGTATTTTAATTGTGCGAAAATCAATTAATTCAGTATGTATTTATAGGTGTTTGTTGTATTTCACTCTTTGATCTTGGATTTTCCAGAGCGGAATTAGTGTTTACATGATATGAGTTTACTTTGGATGGAATTCGCGCTTGCGTTCGCCCACGCGCTCGCTGTGTGTATATATATATAATGTATTGCTAGTAATAACAGCGGCGTCGAAGTGCAAACATCGACGACGTCGCCGGGCGTCGTTTATTTTGAAACCATGTTTTGCAAGTTGCAAATCAAAGCGTCAATCAGTGGATGAAGCGCAGATCAATCAATTGCAATAGAAGCGATATTCATCGGTATTTCGTGCGGAAAAAGGTCGGACAGAGAAGATAATTAAGATGCAGATGTTGGATTAGAGTGTTCCGGTATAAAACAGGAGCAATAAATGTGATTTGGTGAGTGATGCAATGCAGATACCGACCCAGATTTAACGTTTGGGTCGGTTGGGGAGTTAATCAATGCTGCAGTTTGCGTTTCTGTTGCGGAATTCGCGGTTGGGGATGAGGCTGATGTCGAGTGCGTATCGATCGGGAAGCTGTGTAACCTTGGTCTTGGTGGCCTTACATCCCGGATCGGCACGCGCGGCCTACTCTCCCCTCGATGCGCCGCTCTAAAAATATAATTCAATTGTTTCTTTTGCATGCAGGCGCGGAGATTCTTCTCCACCGGCGGAAGAGATGGCTCCGATCAACATTTTGGATGACGATCATTTCGCGATCAGCGCGATCGTCATCGTCGCGATGCAAGTGATCTTCTTCACGGTCGTCGCAACGTTTCAGATGGACAAAGTCACGGACTTTGCCGGCGGCATCAATTTCATGATTCTCGCACTTCTAACGTTCTTCCTGGGTCAAGGGAATCGAGTAAGTTGTTCGGCGCTTGCAGTTGCAGCGGTATTGATTATACATGTCTCACGCATTTCCATTGATTCAACAATGGTATTGTTTGGCGCGTAATCAAAAGCAAGATCTATCGATCGAAATATATAATGGATCTTATAGAATTGTAATAGTATTTCTGTTTTCTAATTATTGTTATAGAAAAACTATGATAATAGACAGCTAATGGTGACGGTGTTTGTCTGCATTTGGGGTGCTCGCCTCTCTGGGTATCTTCTCTACCGGATATTGAAGATCGGAAGAGATAAACAGTTCGATGATAAGCGAAGCAATGTTATCAGATTCGCTATATTTTGGACGTTTCAGGTAGAAAAAAAAGAGAAATAATAGGCTATTATTGTATTTAAACTAATCTCTTGTATGCAGGCCATTTGGGTTTATGTCGTAAGTCTTCCTGTGATAATAATCAATTCCCCGCGACACGCTATTCCGAATGCCCCGAAAACCATGACGACGCTGGATTCAGCAGGAACTGGACTGTTCGTGATTGGTTTACTAGCGGAAACCTACGCGGATTTACAAAAGTTTTCCTTCAGGCAAGATCCTACCAATCAAGGGAAATGGTGCAATGATGGTAATGATGACTGATCAATGATCATTTCTTTTACTTTTGTTACTTGTTTTTGTTGTTGTTCAAGGTTTGTGGCGATTGTCCAGACATCCGAATTACTTCGGAGAAATCGTCCTTTGGTGGGGAATATTCGTGATCTCACTGAACGTTATAGAAGGATACGAATGGGTTGCCATAGCCTCACCCATATTCACAACTTTCATCATTTTATTTCTCTCCGGAATGCCGGTTCTGGAGAGATCATCCGATGATAAATTTGGAGAGTAAGTTATTGGTAATAATAACAGTAGTTTTGTTAAATGAAATTGAATGTTGCAGCATATCCGAATACCGGTATTACAAGGCTTCCACTTCGCCCCTGATTCCGATTCCACCCGCTTTCTACGTGGAAGTGCCAAAGTTCCTAAAGTTCATCCTGTGCTGCGAATATCCGATCTACGATACCGTCGATCTGCGCATGAAGGCCTCCCAGATCGTGAAGGAGTCGACCTGCGGGTCTTTGGCTCAATCGCAGACATAGCTATAGCTGTGCGCTGGCCCTGAAGCCGGCGACCCTCGGTCTTCCACCAACACCTCAAACACCGCCGCAGACAAACAGCAATGTCAAATTACTTCCCTTTGAATGGGCGACATAGAAGTGTTATTGTAATTATTTTTTTACTCGTTCAAGTTTTCCAGTTTCGTAGCAATTAGCGTAATCCTTGTTAATCTTGCGGTACGAATACACTGTTTGATATTTGTTCCTTCATCCAAGCTCTGATGATTTGGATGCTAAATGTGAATAAAACGGTTTAGAAAATGATTAATTAATGGCATTGAATCAATCAAAAAATCTATTACTAAGTATTAGCTAAAATTATGTATCTCGTAGAGAAATGTTCTTAAAACGTACGAAAATATTCTAGCTGTATCGATATTGAGTCTATAGTGTATTCGTATCTTCAGAGCTACAATTCCAAACATATCGTATATTTAGGCAATACAAAAAAAAAGTATATATAATATTTATGCCTATATGCAGCATTCGACTTAATATGTAAAATGTTCGAATTAATTAGTGTACATATTCGTAGATGAATAAAAACATCTTTCAATTTAAATTGATTTAATTATTAAAGCCATTACTTCTTTGGTGTCGAGTCTAGTATTATTTAAACAACTCCTGTGTTTCGGAAAATATTGAGATCAATATAAAATATTTAGGCCATAAATAAAAATTTATCGTGGGGGTGGGTAAGAAAAATACAAAATTTATGCGCATATACAAGAAAATTGGTAGAGGCGTGTGTTACAGACTAAGAAAAAAAATAATAAATAAAAACGTTTGACCAAGAAGGAAGAAGGTATACTACAGTGCGTGTATATACCATGCAAAAATAATTAATTAAAGACAGTTTTAAGATTCGTCGCATTCCTCTCTGTGGCACACCAATTGTGAGAGGAACTCGACTAGGGTTCTGGTCGGACGTCCGGCCATGCCCTTCCTCAGATACTTGAATTCTCTGCCAGTAGTGTACATGATTCCCATTGTGTCCATGTGAAGCCAATCTCCGCACGGCACAAACTCCCTCAGGAAGGCGGCCACCTTGCAACCTCCACCATGCCTTCGACCTCGTCCAATGGTCTTCACCTCGCAATTCTCAAACTTCGTCACCAATTTCGAGTAATACCTCCAGAGAGGAAACCTCCAGACCCTGTCGCCTGTATGCATAGAAGCTGCAAGCATGTACTCCCAAAGAGCCTCAGAGTTGCTCCACACTCCGCTCGCGCTCATCCCCAAAGCCCTCTCCATGTCGTACGTCATGGACCCTACGTCCACTATGAACCGGGGCCAAAAGTTTTGCGCGTAGACCAGAGCGTCAGCCATCATCAGACGACCGGCGCAGTCAGTCTCTTGAATCTCGATACTCTTTTTGTTCATAGCCTTAACTATGTCTCCTGCTCTCATTGCAGCGCATCCGGGCATATTCTCACAGAGCGGGATCAATCCGCGAATGTTGATCGGCAATTGAAGACCAGCGACAGCTCTGCACGCAGCCACCACGCATGCCGCTCCAGCCATATCGCCTCTCATGTTCTTCTGATGCTTGCACCGTTTCAAACCCAAACCTCCGCTGTTATAAGTCACGCCCTTGCCAACAAGAACCACAGGCCTCTCGTCCTTAGCAGCACCGTAGTAACTGATTTCCAAGAAGATCGGAGGTTCGCAAGAGCCTTGTCCTGCTGCCAAAAACGCGTGCATGTTCTGCGTTTCCGCCCATCCCCTGACCTTAACTTCCACGTTCACTCCAGCCTTACACAATACTTCAACGGCGTTCTGCGCGAACGATGTGGGAGTCATCAGATTCGCAGAAGTGTCCATGAGCTGTCTGGCCAAGTTTTGAGCTGCAGCCTTCTGCAACCCGATTTGCCAACCAGTCCAATCGCAGTCGTCGTACAGCTCCAGCTGAGGAATGATAACCTGCTTCGTCTTTTCCTTCTTCTCCTGGTAGAGCCACACGCCCATCGCTGCCCCCTCAGCCGAAGATTCAGAATGACCGAAACTCTCCATGTACACTTTGGTCGCGTGATGTCTTTGCGCGGACTTGCAGCCAGCGGCCGCCGCGATCCTTATAGCCTCCTTTCCCTCGTCGATCTGCTCGAAGACATCGTAGCCTTGGCATTCCTTCCCCAAACCCACCAACGCTACAACCGGGAACTCCACAGTCAGATCGTAGTAGTTCTTCACCTCACCCAGGCGCGGAGGAAACCCGGACGACTTGATCAGTTCGAACAAACGATTGCACACCATCCGGTTGTACTTTTCGCCGGTCGGAGTCAGACGACCCGGATGGTTGGTATCTTCTGGATCTGTGTACAAACCCAATACGAGCACCTTGATCTGATCTTCACGACATGTCTCTTCGGCTACGGTTCTCCCCGCTCCGGACATGCTTCGAGCAAATATTCTATTTCCATCACGTACACAATTTTGCACAATCTTTCGCAGAGCCATATCGCTTTTTCTCTCTTTATTATTGCATACTCACAATTTTACTCGCGTCTTAGGGATTCTGATTTGCCCGATGATTTATCCCGTTTATTAAAAAAACTATTGCGAATTTTTACAAAACTCAAAAAATTGATGTTTACAGGTTGCCACTGGATATCAAATCTCGAAACAATTTACACAGATACAAGGATTTCCTCAATCAAAACGCGCAAATAATCCGATGCAATTACAACCAGTAATTAATTTTCCACTTCCACAATACTTACGCCAACTTTATACTAAAAGTAATCATTAATCATTACAATCATCATCATTGTTTCAATTATCTAATGTAAAATAAACTTTAACTAAAGCTGCAAAACTAATAACAAACAAATATATTTTATATTATGTTAAAAATATATTTTAATTACGCTACAAAAACTACTAGCTACTAAACACACTTTAATGTGAATGCCAAACATTTAATTAAACTTTTAATCTATGCAAATACTATGAAAGCATCAATTAATCAATAATTTATAAACTTAATTAATTGTAGATTCAAAATTTTGAATCGATAATCCTGAAAGCGCCCTCTTCATGGATTACGTTCAAAACTGTGCTATAACCTAGAAATATTTGCGCAATTTAATTTTAATTCGTATTTCTATAGCGGTGTTGTATATAAGAAAAGAAATATGTTCCGAAGAGGAAATCTGGCCTCGAAGTATAGGGAATACGCGAAATCATTGAAATTCCTAAAGGTAAGTGAACTTTGCAAAACAGACTTTCGGAGGTTAGAATCTCCAATTCCAGAGCAATTTGTCGGAGAGCGATGTATCCAGAAAGGCCGTAGCAAAATGCGAAGAAGTTCTGCAAACCTTAAAGACACACAAGGTAATTCAATTGAAGTAATCAATTTGGAATGATCGACTCATTTAACATATTTTTAGATATCCCATACACAGGTGATTGATAAGTACAGGAAAACTCTAGCAGTAGTCCAAAGCAAATTTGGTGCTTCTACTTCTAATAATGAGGATTCTCGTTGGAAGGAGCTGCAATCTAGACTTAGTCTTTCTAATACATCAAGAAGGAATATTTTCACAACTGGTGCCATAGGAGTTTTCAGTTCGAATGCTACCCCAGTTTCAGTCACAGGTTACAATGATACAGATTTCTATAAACAGCTTGGAATCACTAATCCTGTACAATCCAATGTGTCTGTTGCCAATAATAACAATAATATTACTACTAACAGTGAAAGTGTGAATGTAGATGTGCTTCCTGCAGAAAATTGCTATACATCAATCTTTGATAACATGCCCCCAGAGAGTGCTAGGAATGATATCTATACTTGTATTACGAATGTGTTTGCTAAAGAAAATGTGTTTGATGGACAGAATGTTGAGACGAGCGTCTATGTTGGTGGTGGTGGAGGAAAAGATCTTGTTTATTTTAGCTCTCCCGATGCTTCTGTGATCGCTAATAATGAACCTGCTGAGAGTGTTGTTGTTGTTGATGAAATTACTAACCCGGGCATCGATCAGTCCGTTTTACAAGCGACTAACGTTACGAATTCTCCAATAGATACAGCGGTTGAGGTCTTGCCGGAGGCTCCGGTTGTTCCCGATGTTGCTGCACAGATTGTCACACAATTGAACGCCTTGGGAGAGCCAACCTTTGCATCACAAGGTTTAGGTGGATGGACTCCAGTGGGTATTGTGCAGAACTGTTTCGAATACCTTCACGGCTCGTTGGGAATCCCCTGGTGGGAAGCCATAGCTATTGGTAAATTTACTGTAAACTATTGAAACTGTTATTTTGATGATGATTTTTTTAGGAACACTCGTTATCAGGTTCTGCTTGTTCCCGTTGGTCATTATGGCGCAAAGAAATGCTGCAAAGATGAACAACAACATGCCGCAGATGCAGGTAATTCAATTGAAGATGACCGAAGCGAGGCAAAGCGGAAACCAATTGGAGGTGGCCAGGTATTCTCAAGAACTTATGACTTTCATGCGGGAGAAGAACATGAATCCGTTCAAGAATATGATCGTGCCGTTGGCGCAGATGCCTGTGTTCGTCTCGTTCTTCATGGGATTGAGGGAGATGGCCAACGTACCTTTGGATAGTATGAGAACGGGCGGTCTGTTCTGGTTCACTGATCTTACCGTTCCCGATCAATTCTTCATATTACCTATTATCACCAGTGCAACCCTATGGGCTACAGTCGAGGTATTATTATAGTACTCATCCAAATTACCTAAATTGACAATTCTATATATTCAAGCTCGGCACAGACTCGGCTAAACTGTCAGCGCAAAACATGCAAACCATGAAATACGTCTTAAGGGCTTTACCGATTGTTATTCTGCCCTTCACCGTTAACTTCCCTGGAGCCATTCTTTGTTATTGGATGGCAAGTAACTTTATTTCTCTAGCGCAAGTAGGTTTCCTCAGGATACCAGCAGTGAGAACGTACTTCGATATAGACGCTCTTCTCACGCACAACCCGAAAAATTTACCAATTAAAAACAAGGGTTTCGTAGGAGGAATTAAAGAATGTGAGTGATTACGTGTTAACAGCAACAATTTCAATATTAAACGCTATTGTTTTTTTAGCATGGACTAATATTAAGATCACTAAGGAATTGGAGGAGAGGCGAAGATTGGACGAGATGCAATTCCAGAGGGCAGGAAAAGGACCTTTGGTTAAGACTTACAAATACGATCCGACCAAGCAGGCGCCTAAGGTCGCCGCAAAGAACCGATAAATCTTGTCGATTTAACTATATTAAAAAATAAACAATTCGTATTAGATACTTTTTGTACAATATTTATATTAGCTTAACATATTATGATTCCTTAGATTGTAAATTAAAGATCACGATTGTGTAAATCTTACAAACGTTTAATTTAATTGCTGACTATGCACTGGTTGATCACCTTGATCAGGTGGCGGTTCTCCAGGGCTGCAGCAACCCTCTCCTTATCTGCCAACTGTTTGTTAACAGAGTGCTCGGATGCATGGGTACCAGGGTTTATTTCCACAGTCACTTTGAATCTACCTGGCAGACATCTGAGCAACTTTACATGTATGGAGAGACCAATCAATGTGGCCATGCTGCAGTGTGGAATCGTTGGAGTGTACAGCACTCTAACCAAATTCCTGTCATTGTCCACTTCGATCAGACTCTCCTCCAGCACGTGCAATTCCTCGAGCGAGAGAGGATGCTCGGGATCGTTTATGCCGCGAATCAAATCTTTTAAAAGCAAATAAATCACAAATCAAAACTGATTAACGAATACTTACCAAACACCTCTCTGGTATCAATCTCATCCACGACATTGTCATCCTGTTCTTCAGCAGTGATCAATCTCTCGTTCACTTTGTTGTAAACGTTCGGATTCACGTTTTCCAATTCCATTGTTTTCTACAAATGTTCTTCAAAACGAACTGCGTACAATAATAACAAATTTCAGGTTATGATCATCAAAATAAAAAAAAGATATTCTGCGTCTTTACAATTTCACATCAATTCATATTTACATTATTTGTATTTCTTTATAAATCAATGGAAAACGTGATGAATTCTTTACTTTAAGAGAACAAGAATTAAATAATTATTATTGTAATTATAGGCAACCCAATTCACTGCAAAATTTGAATTTGGTAATAGTGTAAAATTTGTTTACATGTTTTCTGTCCTGTAAAATAATGTTCTTTCAGATGAAAATTTAATGAGTAAGTGTTATAATATAGTAAATACTTTAATATTACGTAAGTTTATCTTCATTTGCTTAACTCTTTGTATACTTAATTCATTTATAGATTGGTTTAAAGGGTACTTTATAAACTGTCATTTTAAAAACTTTTTTAAGGCTTTCATTAATTATAACAATTCTATAAATTATTGTTTGTTTTGATGCTAGGACGTTGTTACCCAATGTTAAATCTTTGCAAATGTTCAATATTGTACAAATTCAAAACTATTATGATATTTCTATAATTTCAATATAGGCATTCTTAACTTCTTGTAGTTTAAAGATCTGCATTAAAAAGTCTAGGATTAGTCTACCTGTAAACTGTCTGGAAACTATTGAACTGTACGTGATAATTCTTTTTTTGTAATATTTCTAATTGATTCTTATTGGTTGTAGGGATTTTTCATTATTGCTTGCGACAAGTAAGCTAAGATGAAATCGTTTGGAAGTAAGGAGACATTGTGAAGGTCATAGAGTCAGCTGAGTAGACAACTGTATTAACTGTTAACTTATTACATCATAGTGTCCAGTTTCCGATGAAAAAGGTAAATAGCATGTACTTGTTGAATGGAAAACTGGTTTCTGAAATGTTTGAGGACGCCGCATGCATATTCGTTGCGTAAGAGCACGGCGAGCGGGAAAGTTTCCGCATGGCTGAGAGCGAAATCACCATTTGGAGTCCACGTGGTCGGCATTCCCACCACATACAAAACGCACAATACCAAAGGGAGGGCCCCCTTTCCTGTGTCCCGTTGTCGAGTGGCAACGCTGCTGCTGCTGTCCAGACAGACAAGAAGTGGAGAGAACCGTTAGCAGTTGTTAGTACGTTGCCAGATTGGCGAATAATAGGGTGTTGTCTGCACACGCGAGCCGTGACGGGCGGGGGCGCAAGAGGATTGATCGATCAATCAAAAGTTTTCGCCTATCCATACTATATATGTATATGAATATATAGCAAGAAGGAAGGGTGGCGTATGCAACTCGCGTGTCTCCGTGGATCGATATTTTCGCAGCATCCATTCATTGCCAGTGATGTGACGCGAAAGGGTGTATTCCGTGGAGTGGAGCAGATAAGGGCCAATTCTGGAAGTGCTCCTCTGGAAGGGCCCGCGCAAACATCTCGTCCCCCTTTTTACCCCATCATTTGTCTGTCTCACCTTGCTGCCCTGGTGCTCGAGTGCAAGTGAATGTCCGCATCATAGGAATACCGCAGATAATAAGCATTGTAAGTAACGAGAGAACAAGCACCACCCCCACAGAAGGTAACCGCCTTAAACCACGACGACTTTGTTGTTGTTGTTATTGTGTGTGTGTGCCACAGGTATAGCAATACATTCAATACCGAGGGCGAACTGGTTTTTTTTTCACGCAACAAGAATTTGTTGGTAGTTTATTGCATTCGCCGCAGCCGCTATACACCTGTTGATAGTCGTACGCAAATTGCGAGCATTAACAAATTCGATTTATCAAAGTACATATCGTTTTCGCTGCATAATTTAGATTTATAATTAGCCTTATTTATAGCTGCAATTCAATAGAACCAGTCACGCCAGACGAACATTGCAATTCTTTAATTGCATCGATCCCCGCACAGTCACGATTCAACAATTTTCTTTTGCTTGGAAACTCCCTTGCACCAGGAGTCACGCAGCCCATCCCTCCCCATGTGCTCGTGAAAATAAACAACTCTTCACCCTTCCCCATTGTACACACCATGAATATTTTAACTACAGAAAAGAATATAATGCGAACTAATCGAGCGCTAAGCATATTTGCTGCGTGAATAACTCGAATACCTTTATTGACCCTTCGTCGTCTGACATTCAATCTTTTAACACAATACAGAATTGCTACAATTTCAAAGTACAAAATTCATGAATATTTAATGTAAATACACATAATATCATCAACATAAATATACCTACAATTAGCAATTATATACGTATTTCAGATATAGACTAAGTACATATTATATTTGTACATCTTATCAATTTGTTTGCTCGAATTCTAAATATATTCTAACACGAGACAAAGTAACACTAATTGGATTATGCTCACGCAATGAAATCGTTATTAAATGTATGCAAAAGTGACTTAAATTGAAACGCTTTTACTTGTGAGCTCCGCACATCCGTTGACAACTTTTAATCAAGTTTTGTCTATCCCCAATTACGGTCAATATTCACGTCTGAATAAATTCGGCGAAGGCAAATTTTACAATTCCTGCGACAATATCAAATCCTTCGTCCACAAAAGCAATAACAAGAAAATAATTTGTTTATTTCTATAAAATTTCTCATGAAATATTATTTCAAATTAATTTATACTATAAATTTGTACTGTCCCATAGTTTTTGGGTTTACATTTTTGATTTTCACAAATTGTGTGTGTTTTCCAATTCAAATTGATCTCATATAATATTCATAAATCGTCGACGATCGAAGGAGCAATTGTTCATTTAGCGATTGTACACATTTTCATCGCCGTTTGCCTTATTCCACTCGTTTGCTTATTGCATTGCACTATTAAATAAATTCCAAGTAAACGTGATTATTCATTTTTTGTTATTGCTATGGTCGATAGGATTTTCCTCGTCTCGCAATGACTTGAGACTTGTTGTTTACTTTGCGCTTCGTCAATCCATACAAAAGGCTGATCAAGTTTAACACTATTTCAAAGAATTCACGTTAAGAATTCAAATAATTTAAGTTGTTGTTGCATGTGAGGTATGTCATAAAATTATTGCTGAAATTTGCGGAACTTTTAGCTATGATAAGGTTTATTTTTTATAAATATTGAGTAAGAAATTACAAAAATAATGGAAATAATTGCAGTATTTAATGTCTCAAACAAATTGAATTTTAGCTGATTTAAAATGAAATAATATTATGTTAATATTGAGTGCGATCAATGGGGTAGAGAAATGATTTAATTTAGAAATTTAATGAGTCTTGAACGAAACATTAAATGTTAATTGAATGGTGTTGTTTGAAATTTTCAAAATGTTTTAAATCCGTGTCTTTGTTTTGAAATCGGTTGAGTAAGTGGTTATTTCTGTGTCGGGTTAGATTCAGTTGAATTTCAAGAGCAGTTTCGGTTGGGATCATCTAAAAATAGTCTTTAAAAAGTGGGAAAAAATATACGGTCGTCGGAAGCGCGCATGCTATCCGTCCGTATGGGCATCGGCGATCATTCCTCGGGAGAGTTGCGGACCGTAACGTCTTCGTCGAGAGCTCCGCGACGTCGTGGTGAGCGGAGCAAAGTCGCGCGCGCGATCCCTGCTCGTGCCAACATCTATTTCCACCCGGATCGAACAATTCTCTTTTATTACTTTTGTAATTCCATTTTGCACGTTGTTACTCTTTCGTTTCTGCTGAATTCATCTGATCGCGGCGCGAAAGAACGGCCTCCAAAGAAGATCGCGCAAAAATATGGATAACACGAGAACAAAGCAATCGATCGTAGTTGTCCATTGATCGGCGCATGCATCCATCCATTATATTATCCAGCCAGCATTCGATTCTCGCACATGAATAAAACATCGAGCCTGCATTATGTAACAACGCGGATTAAGAGGAGTGTTTGTAATTATCGCGTGCTAGAAGTTCTCGAGAAGCGATCCGAACGTCGCCGGAAGAAGAACGGTGTTGATGATCGTGATGGTAAGCTTTTGTTTTGTCAACAAAGTGTTTACGCGGAAAAATGCTAATGCCTGAATGATCCTTGGCATAACTCCCAACGTTGATAGCGAAAACTATATAAACTGTGGATTGCGCGCATTTGCTCGTTCCGTTATCGAAGAAGAACCAATAACTTAAATCAAGGTATCCACTTGAAGTCAAGACTTTAAAAAAGAGTTTAGTTTAAAACAAAAAATTGAAAAATTATAGTAAAAATATCACGATTTAAATATACACACTAATTACAAGAGACGATAACGATAACAACATGAGCACACAAGTAAGTTAAAACTAAATTGAACTTTTAGTAAAAACAAATCCATGATTTTATGAGACTTTGAAAATCATATAATGTTAGCTTGAAAGTTAGAAATTTCCTTCCAATAATTTGTAATAATAATTCTAAATCTGGCTTTAGACTTTATGTTTAAAACTCTGACTTTATTCATGAGAAAACTTTCTTCACTGAAACTTCTCGACTCTAAGAACAAATTGTATATTTTTTAAATTCAACATTAATAACATTGTCAATCAAAACATTAACATTATTAAATTAAGATTTGTGAACGAAAATAATGGTAAAAATCTAATATTTTCATTTATATTTAAATTTACTTTCAGAATGAGGCTGATAATTTGCATATGAAACCTACAGTAATTTAAAATTCTGAATTGATATTTTGTTTTTCACTTGACATTTCCAATTCCGCCTTGATCTAATTTACAAATTTTCTTAAGTAAACTGTTTTTTTTTCTATTCCTTTGTTTCTTAAAGTAAATATTTATAAATTATTATTTTTCCACTTGAAAACGGTTTACATTTAGCTTATAAACAAAATTAAGTTTTCAATCAAATATTTTGCTTACAGACATTTATAAATAACAATACAAAAAAAGAAATGCAATTAGGGAATTTAATTTCATTGAAAATTTACATTTTTTTTTTTGAAAGAAAACTTATGTAGAGTAGGTGGAAAATTATTGTATTGTTATAAGTAAGTTTGTTTTGTTTAGATTAGAAACTGGAGCGAGATAATAGAAGATAACAGTGGCGATGATCAAAGATGAGACACGTAAAGAAATAGCAACGTTTATAAGTGTTATAAATGTTTGTTGAAACAAAGTGTTTACACGACTAATTTAAAGTTTATAATTATGATCGCATTCTTTACTCTATCATTCCTCTCTTTTTCCGCTTCGAAAAAGAAAAATAAACGTTGTAAATATTAAAAACTGCACTATTTAACCCTTCATATAGTGCGTAGACTATTTGAAAACGGACTTTAAAACAGCGTAAACTGAAGTGAATTTCACAAATTTTCATATTGAAAAAGCAAATACATATCGTGCGGCAAAACTGCGGAACGACCTTAATTATTGACGTGAAGCCGTTTGTACTGTTATTAATATTATCTACCTTTCTCTTTTGTTACTAGGTGGGGGGGGGTTTGGTAACGAAATGTATTAAAATGTCAAAGGGAAAAAAGCGTGTGCCGAGAGATGATTATGTTTCAGGTCTCTTGTGAATTATGAATTTTGAAATCAATATCTTTAGACTGCCGTTCAGTCTCTCAATTAGCGGCCATTATTTTAATAACAAAAAGTAAAGTAAAAACTTTGATCGAGTTTTTTGCTTAAATTCACTCTACATCAGAGGTTCCCAAACTTTTTTGTTTTGTTTTTCGGTTTTGGGTAGACTTGATATTGATTTTTTTGTAAATTTATTATTTATATTGGGACATCTTTATAAATATTAAGATCTTTCCTCTGAGACTGCGCGTATGCTTGTAACAAGATGATACTGGTATATTGTAACAAGATGATACTGGTATATCATTATGTGCAGGTTTTTACAAGTTCAAAATGTATTGCGACCACAAGCACGAATGCCTACATCCTACAACTTACACAATTTTATAAACATATATAATATTTTTTTTACTTCATAGGTATTTTTTTAAATAATGTATATGTCTTTATATTATAAGATAGTATAATGTAAGTAAATAGGTACTATCAATGTATGGACCCACAATTTGTTCACATTTATAACAGAGATTGTTTTTAGGGCTAATCAATGAGTCAATTTGTAATCTTTAATTAAATTATTTTCATTTCTTTCACACTTTTATCATAGTTTCTGTGCGCGTTACGTAACTTGATTATGTTGTGTGCGTGTATATTGTGTGCACTCTCTAATTTCGTTTTTTTTCTCTCCTTCGATATGTTCTAGATTGTAGAACTAAAATTGAGAGATGGAAATAAGAGCATGTGTGTAGTACATGTATTGATCTCGCACAAAAGTGAACTCGGTGCGGTTTGGAAAATGTGAATCACTCACTTTTAGGGAGTGTTCTTGCATTAGAGTGGAAGGACTAAATTGAATTTGATATTTTGATGTGCGAACCCCTTAAATTTATCATCCGGACTTGTGAATGACCCAGTAGCACGAATTACCACCGGTGTGTGAGAGAAGAGAAAGAGAACTGCATTATTCAATTTTGCTCCGCCGCCAAAATTACTACGTCCGTGAATTATTGAACACATCCGAACTTTTCATCGGGAATACATCGGTATCGATTGCGTCGTCGTCGTCCGGAATGTAATTAATGGTTATGATTGGGTCATAATCATGTTATTCAGAAGCTCGCCTAACAGTGAGAGAGAAAGAGAGACACTTTCCGGTCTGTTTGATAATTGCAAAATGAAATTGGCATAATTCTAATTACATTTCGGATTCATTTATGGGAAAACTCTCCTCATCCATACTTTACTTGAAGAACAAGTTGCATGAATGTTTTAACTTTAGTTTTCTTGTTAAAATCAACAGACGTTGTTTAATGAATTTACGACTTGATTTAAAGTTTTGTTCAAAGAAAATAATTAGAGAGAAAGCTAAGCTCTTTTTAACTATTTGCACCACCTTTTGAACATGTCTAACAATGGTACACGCATTGTACGACCTTTTTTTAATTGTATTGTATGTTAATTTTCTAGAAAATGTTCAATAAACAGGAATTACCACCTTCTAATTAGCAAATTCATTAAAACTATGCTGTGCATATCATTTTTTATTGTTACAAATACATATTACAAATGTATTCAATTTTTATCTTACCGCACTTGGGTTTGGAAATTTAGGAAATTCTGGCCCTTCAAAGAGTTAATATTACTGAGTGAAATTTACATTTACTTTTGAAGAGAAGAGAGAAATTTTCTATATTTAGTTTTTTTTTCTTTATTATTTATATATAATAATTGCATTAATTGTTAATCAGCAGATGTTATGTTACACGCTTACTAAATTAAGATTTGTGAAATCTAAATTATAGATTTTCCTTTAGAAAATTTAATATAAAGAAAGCTTATCTTCTGCTCATTGCTGTGTTTTTTTTTGTCAATTACGTTTGAATTAAATGGGGAAAGTTCTATAGAGAAATTTCATTGTTTAATGCAATTGTGAAATTATCGATTTGCAGAATTACATTTCCATTTTCTCTCCAATTAATTTACGTTATTGTTAATCAACGAATGTAATGTAATTAAAAATACAATTATGATGATTAGGTAATCGATACAGAACTGGACGTTTGTTTCTGTTAAATAACAGATGTTTAATGAGCGAAATTAAATTGTGTGGATTTCACTTTATTAATGAAAATAGTTTCATTACTTTCAACATTCTTTTTAGATGAGCCTTCTATTGCAGATGTTTATAGAAAGTTTACACAAGGAAACGGAAGATTGATTATATAATTGTTGTGAAACCATGACGATGTTGTGTCATGTGGTTTTTTTTTTGGGTTAATATTTACGTTTTAGTAATATTTATCTATATTTTGTTTGCAGAAATGGCATTGGATTATACGTAAACCAGTGAAAATGGATAGGAGGTTCATCCGGCAGAACGGGCCGGTGCTGTTCATAACTTTGCTCTTCTGCCTCTCCGTCTGGCAGATAATCGTGTCGGGACCAGGACCGCCGGACGCGGACGAGATCACCGTCCCCGCGTACACCGTGATAACACCGAACAGCACCAGATTCAGGTATCCGGTGGAAAGTCTGAACGCCTCCGACTATCACACGCTGATGGACAACAGGGAGTTCTCCTTCAAGATGCTCACGATCGTCTGCAACGAGAGCTACCCGTTTCTGCTGGTGATGGTGCACAGCGCGCCGACGAATTTCGCCAAGAGGAAGACGATTAGGGAGACGTGGGGACAGCGTCACGACGGCATGAAACTGGTCTTCATGCTGGGAGCCGTAGATGATTATAAGTTGCAGAAGAAGCTGGAGCTGGAGAACGCGTTGCATGGGGATTTCGTGCAAGGCTCGTTCAAGGACACCTACAGGAACGTCACCTACAAGCACGTGATGGTCTTGAAGTACGCCGTCTACCATTGTCCATCTGCAAAGTACATCTTGAAGACGGATGACGACGTGTTCGTGAATATGGTAGTTTACCTGGATTTCCTCAACGAGGATCTATCGACGCATGGAGTCACAGATCTTTTATTCTGCAACGTCGTCAAAGATTCCGAGGCGGCTCGCTCGTACCGCTCCAAATGGAGGGTCTCTTTTAAGGAGTATCCGCAGAGGGTTTACCCCACGTACTGTCCCGGATGGACGCTCCTCTACTCGCCCGACGTTGTCTTCAAGCTGTACAAAGAGGCCCAAATCCGGCCGTACTTTTGGATAGACGACGTGCTGATCACCGGCATCCTCATGAAGAACCTCAACCTCACGCACACCCACAACGCCAAATACATCATGCGACACGACGACACCCACGCCGTCGTCTACAGGAATTCGACCACACTCATCCGGCAGCAGTTCCTCTACGGCCATCCCGAACTCAACGAGAGGCAGATCCGCAGCTTGTGGGCCTTCGTCACGCGCCCCAAAATCGAAGCCAATCGCTTCGTGCGTACATGAAGACGGAAAAGTATAGAATTTCATATATTTTTTTACACGTAAAAGAAACGAACTCGAAAGAAAACCAAAAGCCTAGTCAACACACAAAAATAACAATGTATTAATTAAGGGGGGTTAATTAAAAAAAATGTAAATACCACCCCCTCACCCAAAAGAAAGAACATTAATTCAAACTTTATCTGAACCTCTTGAAATGTTATTAAAAAAGATATATATTATAAGATGATATAAAATACGTATATTGAGTTAGGAGATCTAAAGAATGAAGAGAATCCGATATTATATATATATTTACGAAGACTGTTACTGTAGCAATTAGTCAAAAGTTAACACAAACAAATGGATATAAAGAAAACAAACATCAAAATGATTATAACAAGGAATAAATTGTGTGTTCCGTTTTAGATAAGTGCCTGGGATTAAAGTTTAAAGAAAAAGTAAAAATCGATTGAGTGCAATGTAATAATCCGAATATTATATATATATGTATATGCCAATTTAGAGTGAAATTAATGGCGTTCAAAAGTTATGTGCCAATTTTTCATTGCGGAGAGAAAAAGAAATTGATGAATTGAAGAAAGAGCAATCTTTTGATTAAAAGTAAATTTTATTAATTAATTTCTGTTTTTTTTTTTGAACGCTATTTATATGATAAGAAAATGGGTCCATGTTCAATTTAGTACCTAATTAATTGAAATATTTATTGAAACAGAGTAAAAAATAACGAAGATGGATATTTAATATGATATATATATATTTATGTATTTTTGTTCTCGCGTATAAATAATGAATGAAGGAGGAGGAAAAAAAAGTAAATTTAGAGTATATTTTTTATTATTGTATAGGATCTATATTAACTCTTCACTATTATCTTTTTATTATTATATAATAAGTACCGTTTATGATGTTATTATTATTATTACCGTGTTACCATTCCGTGAGAATATAGTTTATATTTTGATATATGTACATATTATATATTATATTTTTTTTTGCGTACTTCAAAATCTGTGCTGTTTTGTAATTAATTTCCTATTTTATTTAATTATTTGTTTGTTTTTTTTTTTTTTAAATTTTTGTTTGCTGCAGACTAAGTCTGCGTGTTTACTTATCAGACAAACGTCAGGATGGAAGAATATGAAGATACGAAAAAAAAAAGAAATGAGAAGGAGTCACTTATTGGTTGTTTTGCATGTGATAATTGTGTATATAAGTTATTATAATTTAATTATTAAGAATATTTAAAATATGTGTAAATAAATATATATATATAAATATTATTTAAATGTACAAGACAAATTGAACTACTTGAGAATCGAGAAATTGTTTGTTAATGTAAAAGCAGGACATTATTTTTTGGGTTCTGCGTGAAATTATATAAATTTATATTGTGAATCAAAGTATTGATGAGAGTGCATGCTGTCAACCCTGTGCCAAGTTTCAATGAATCTCGAGAAAATAAATAAATATTAATCGCTGATTCTTTCTCATTTTTCTTTTTTTTTTTCTTTTTCCATCAACCAAATCTGATCCCAACTAATATTCACACCAGTGTTTATTGGTGTGTTTATTGGTTATTGATATGATAATCAACAATTTTGAATTAGTGTTCAAAGATGAATTAATTCATTTGAGATTTTATTAAAATAATATGAATTTCAAATGTTTACAAAATTTGAATTAGTTGTGAGAAAAATAAAAAGTTTGGGAAACACTGATTTAATATATTACATGGATGAACATATCCATGGGTTGCGTTAAATTTTTTAATGGTTTAGCAATGATAGCTGTCACCTTGTGTCAGAACGAAAAACTGATCAAATACTCTTAGAAATTGGGTCGCTGTATAACTCTACAAACGTTGAGAAACGCTGTTTTATAATATAAATCTGTAATTGTAACAATTACAGTGAACTTTAAAGTTTCGTTCACGGTAGCGAATGTAGATTTGTGTAAAGAGATGGCGCCACGAATCTTGAAATACAAATTTGAATTTGTATCAAAAAAAAACTGTGGATAGGGAGAATTTTCACAGGGAATGTTGACGCAGGACAAATATTTGCGTCTGAACCGCACACATACATACAATATAATGAAAGCGATAAATCAATTTTTTTTCTAGGCCATTATTAAAGTTCAATCATCTCTTCGTTCACCCAAACAAATCCAATATAACATCAGCAACCCCGTGTTGGCTTTTTTTTTTGTTTTGAAAATTTTCCTCCCCCTATCGATCGGTGCGCGCATACGATCGCATCCTCCGGGAAATTTGACATTTGCAAAGTTCGCATTTGTTTTCGTATCATTTTTCGTAACGTAGCAACGTGTAACAATCATCATATAATTATTGCAACAATCGATTCGGATTGGTGCGAGATGACGAGGTGGCTAATTTGCATTGGTCCGCTCGCTCCTCTTTCATTATCCTTCGATCCCATGATCAAATTAACGAACGTCCTGCCGGGATACTCGAAATACCACTGTAATTTGGACGACAAATAGGGGAAAAAGCAATACACCTTTTGTGTTTGATTTGTTTGAAAATGAAACCGTTGCATTTACGACCATCCATTTGGATTCAGTACAGCTTTTCTGAAGTAATCAAATCAAACTGCATTTTAATTGCTTCAACGTTAATCTAATCTAGTTAAATTTGTATTATTACAATAAGTCAAAGTGTGCAAAAAATATGATTGATAATTTAATAAAAACACACACAAAAACTGTAATTATATTATGGAAATTAAGAATTGCCAAGGCTTCAGTTTTTTACACTCATTTCAAAATATAAGAATTTTGCATATTTTTTACTCTCATATTTTTATTCTTATTAAAACTTTTCAGAAAGAACATTTGAAATATCTTCAAAGCTCTTTAGAAGTTTTGATATAATTTCGTAAATATTAAATAAAATAAAAATTTTCTTAAAATCTACATTTATAACTTAAATTCAGAAGGCAAGTGTAGTAGTCTTTGTCTATTTAGTATAAAACTAAGGCTAAGAATGTAATTTGTAAATTGTTTGGAATATCTGCTATAAATTGTTGCATTTTTTGAAGTTACAGAATTTAAAGTTTTGTTTGCTAATTTTTGTTGACGAAAATAAAACTTGGCAGTTGGATATTCAAATTTGAAAACGAAAAAAATATGTGAAATGAAAAGCGTTGGCTGTGTTTTGGTTTCGGATGGTTCCGTAAATATAAATAGTGACAAAAATAGAACGCGCGTTTTTTTTCCCTCCTCGTCGACGCCGCGCGTCGAATTTTTAATTAGAAGCGCGAGTATTAATTACTTCCCATGCAGAACGGATCAATGGTTTCGGGAATTGAATAGTTCTGAATTATTCATGTGTTTAAACGGTAAAAAAAAATTCGTGAAGTTTGTTGAAAAAGTGAACGTGGTGTTGCGATGAGGGTGGAAGAGGTGGTGATGAAGGAGAACCCTTCGCTGTGGGAGTGGAAACATTTGTAGATACATTGAAAAGTAGTGATGTGGCGTGGCATGGACTGACGTTCGGGCTTTATGTACACGTACATGCATGTATGTATGTATGTATAATCGTGTCATGTTGCTAGGGCTTGCGCATATCTGTCCCGCGCTCGTATTATTATTATCGTGTGCCGGAGGAGAGTTCGCTGAAAAGCGTGTGTTTCAGCCGTTTTCAGCGCAATAAGTCCATCCCCCACCGGTCCGGTCCGCCAGAAGAGCAAACAGTAGCCGAGACTTGGAAAGAACAGCGAACGAAAAACGAAATAGACGCTGAGAACAAGTTGAACGCATGTGCCTGCCTGACTGTCTGAAGTGGTGACTCCGAGCCCTCAACGAGGAAACACAACTGCATAACTCGAAGAACAACCGCAAAGTAAGTTTGCATCAAGTAAGTTTTTTAGTAAAAATGATGAAAGTGGATCAAAATAACGTTAATAATAAACACGGGTTATAAATATTGGAGAGCTGCATCTTCGTCCCAAAAGTGTGGCGAAGAGGTTTCGCGTACTTTTCTTGGGCTCGCGCCAAAAATGCATCCGTCTGGCATAAAACCACTTTGGAAGCGGTCAAGTTTTCATCTATTTTCACCATAATTAGGAACGTGAACTGTTTGTATTGCAAACAGTTTCTAAAACCAGAAACAAGATCGATAATAAACGTTGTAATAAGCTAAATCTATTATTCACCTTCCATATAACGAAATCCCATTCTTCCAATGATCCAATCGATTTCAGCTTTTCTACATTCATTAGCCGAAGACCTATTATTTATTCATAAGTTAAGAAAATTATATATTGTCTTCACATTTTAATTATCATTAGGAGTGAAGATTTTAGTCTTTACTTTTTATACATTATCTCGAATTCTATCAATGGTAGATGATAATTCAATTAGCTAATATTATAGCCTTTAATAAAATTAATTACAGTTTTTTGTAACCTCATTGGTTACTCGTTGCTAAACTTTTTATAAATCGCAAATAAGCAATGTCTTTAAATTTTAGCATATATCTTAAAAACTGTCAATGGTAGAATAATGATTAAATATGATATTTAAAGCTAAAACTGTAAGCTTCAAAACGTACCTAAGCTTATAATTGTATCAATGTTGGTTTTTGAGGAATGCGCTGCAAAACTTCTAAAAATATTTTTTTCACATTCACGATGTAAATAATACAATCACTACATTGTATTATTAGAAACAACTGCTGCATTTGCGTATTTACTGGCAGATTTATGTAATACCGATTCTAAAAATATGATTACCACAAAATGTGTACGGATTTCTGTTTAAAACACTAAAAAAAAAATCGAATGCAAAACCGCGTAACGTCGTCAAAACATATTTTATTGCTTGCGAGTCGTACAAATAAAAAAAAAACTTGCTAAAATATCTTCAAGTCAAGTGCATTCGAATTCACAAGTGTAAATATACATTTTTAGGATCTGTTTATGAGTTTTCAGTTACTTTTAATTTAACTTATAAATATTAGATTTAAGAAAAAGTAATTAGAACTTATTTGCATTAAATAATTTGTGTAATTGGATTCGAAATGATCGAATATTGGCGTTAAATAATTTGGATGATCGTAAGTAGGTTTTTAAATGTGGGGGATGAAGCCAGTTGGTGTTCGTGATGTGCGCTTAATGCGTTCCATACGATATATCCATTAGCGGAATTGCATGCATTTCTGATAATAAATTTTCTTTAACGAGAGTTCCGTTCCATTTCCGAACGCGTTGCCATCAGCAGACAATTATTGTCTTCTACAGCGGAAATTCCAAGGAAGTGGGACAATCTCCATTGTCTTCACATTATCATAATCAATTCGAAATATAATTAATAACCATTAATAATAACCCATAAGAAATATCAAGTTTTAGAATGAGTTATAGTTTGACGAAATGTTATGAAAGTTAAGCAACTACGATATCTGGTTGGGTGATAGTAAGATTTATTAAAAAATTACAAGGAATTATGTCATGAAGTTAATGAAAACCAAATCTAAAATATTAAGTTTAAGAATGCTTTTATCTGCTTATTAATGTTTGACAACTTACGAAAGTTAAGCAACATTTCTATGGATGATAATAAGAATAATCAAGTTAAGAAATTAATGGAAATCTTCAAAGAAAAACAGCTAATGTTGTTAACATTTGCTACATTAAGCAACTGTGAAACTTGGATTGTTTATAATATCACGTAATATTAGTAAAAGTTAACAAAAACGTTAAAATCTGTTGTATTTCTGTTAATTGATTAGATAAGCAGTGTGTTGTGTGTCTTTGGATATAAATAAACTCGTCACAAATTCGATAAATAGATTTGTTGGAGTCGCCAATCAGTATTAATAAAAGTGTGTGTTTCTATTCGACGTTTGTTACCCGAATCAATTGATTTCCAATTACATTACTTTTGTTTCAATTGCCTTTTCCACCTGACTATTCGTTTTAATGTCGAAATTTAAATACGCCCTCTGTTATTTAAAGTTTAATTTATTCCTTGTGTATTCTCTCTGCATTATTTATTTTTTATGTGTATGTTTGACCAAAATTTGAATAATAAAATGCGAATTTCCTCGGAAATTTATGTGACCCTTCGGTCCGTCACGATCGAGTTTATCTCGTATGCAGAATTTACACAAACACACATAAAAATGTTGTATAAATATTTGATTTAAACATTGATGCAATACAGAAAAAATATGACATTTTTAATTTGTTTTTTTTTTTAAATTATTAATCAAAATGTGTTTGTTAATAAGAATCTCACTTCAATTTTGTTTAATTCAACTAAATTTGGGTCACCTGTAACATTGTGAAGTACAAAATGTACGTGTAATTATACACTTCTCTGTGCTTTTTTTTCCTCCTCTCATTCTTTAATGCATATAGCGTGTTGTGCTGTGAAAAGAAAGAGGTAGAGAGAGAGAGAATGGTTCGTGGAATGAGCGAGCAGATCGGTTGATGTAGGTCAGGTTGGATCACACAGCTCGAGCTCGTATCCCACCGGGAATTAATTTCGGATTTCCACATTGTTTCCATTTGGAAATGGCGACGAAAGTAATGCAAGAATATAGAAAAATCAAGTAAAAACATTATTGAATCTTTTTTTTCCATTAAGTTTTTGCAGAAAAAAATATCTAGTATATAAAATATTAGGTTTGATTAGTATCAGGGTTTCTCAACCTATGACAGTTGTCACCTTTTGTTAAAGCGAGAAATAATAATTGCGTTGCTCAGCAACAACTAATAAATGTTTTGGGTTGCGAAATGACAGCTGTCACTTTGTGTCAAAGCTAGGAACTGGTGAAAAAAGGTTGGAAAATGAAAGATAGCATTGTTTTACTTATTAGTTTATTTTCTACTAAATTAATCAAATTAATTATAATAATCATTGCACTAATGCAAATATGTAATGCTCATATGTTAATATTTACTGTGCTTATTAAAATCGCACTTATCGATTTGGAAATGAATCGCTTTGAAATAGTTTCGCATTGGATTTACATAACTCGAGAGCATTGCGATTTGTGACCAAACAGCTGCAGTAAGAGTGCAACAAGTAAGTTAGTTTATAAAGTAAATAGTTTGTAAACATTCTAATAGAACAATAACAAATATATTGATGAAATATGCTTTCGTTATTGTTCCAAAAAATTGAAATTTTCTTAGCTTTTTAATTAGTTTGTAATAATGACTATTATTAATTATTAAATCGAAGCTATAAGTAAGTTAGATAATTAGGAAATCGTCTATTAATCTTTTACAATAGTAATTATTATTTATTTATGAAATTTAGAAAAATATTTAATATAATCAATCAATATTTATTCAATTTGTTCATTTAGTTGCATAAGTTACGTAACGTTTCGAAAAACATTGATTTTTTTGTTTTTGAAAAAAATAATCGAAGCATGTGTTGAGATGTCATCGACGTCGTTTGTGGTTTACGTAATGTGGCGTTTTATATAAATATTTCTGAGAGTTGCGTAACGCGAGTTTTCCACGATAGAGTTTGGAAATAACCGGAGAAAAACGTTGAAAAAGGCGAACGAGAATTACACAATGGATTGGGAAAAACGCAGGTATTAAATTAATGTTCTTACGTAAATGTTATTTGACAGGTTATGTGATTGATGTTTGAGGCAATAGACAAAAAAAATACGTTTTCTCAATGATAGCCTACTATAGCTTTTTTTTTTGTAAATATACATTTATTAAGATTTTAATGATATTGTTGACACTAAAAATGATATTTTACTAAGTACAGTTAGAACAAAGATTTATATTAAATTATTTATAATAAAAAAAAGACGTTTTGCCATTGATTTGTAGCTATTAAATTTGAATTATCTGCAGTGCTTTAATTTAGATTTTAATAGTTTTTATTAATGGTTTAATTAACATTTTAATGATAAAATCTATACTAAAATTAACTTTTTGAAGACTTACAATTAACATTTTCTAATTGATAGCCAACTTTATTATTATATAATATCTAGTGTTTTAATTAAGATTTTAATGATATTATTGACACTAAAAAATACAGTTGGAACAAAGATTTAAATTAAATTATTTATAATAAAAAAGACGTTTCGCCATTGATTTGTAGCTTTTAATTAAGATTTAATATTTTATTAATGGTTTAATTAACATTTTAATGATAAATCTATACTAAAATTGACTTTTTGAAGACTTCAATTAACATTTTTAAAATAAAATTCGTTAGGGTTTTAATTATATTTCGATAGTAAAAATGTCGTTTTCTCTTGATCCAACTTTATAATTATAAAATATCTGCAGTGTTTTAATTAAGATTTTAATGATATAATTGATAATTATTTAATTATTTATTATTAATTTATTTTTAAATTTAAATTAAATCGATATTAAAAATGATGACTTATATAATTTACAAAATTATAAAAATATATTATATCAATAAAGTTAGTAGAAATATTGTAAATATATTATCAATATTAAAAGGTAATACACTAGACACTATAAATTACAGTTAGAGCAAAAATTTAAATTAAATTATTTATAATAAAAAAGACGTTTCGCCATTGATTTGAAAAATCTGCAGTACTTTAATTAAGATTTTAATGATAACATCTATACTAAAACTGACTTTTTGAAGACTTGCAATTAACATTTTTAAAATAAAATTCTGTTACGGTTTTAATTATATTATCGATAGTAAAAATGTCGTTTTCTCATTGATACCCAACTTTATAATTATAAAATATCTGCAGTGTTTTAATTAAGATTTTAATGATATAATTGATACTAATTATTTAAAATTAATTTTTTTAAAATTAAATTTATAATGTTAAATCGATATTAAAAATGATGACTTATATAATTTACAAAATTATAAAAATATATTAATATCAATAAAGTTAGTAAAAATATTGTAAATATATTATCAATATTAAAAGGTAATAGATAATTTAAATTTAGATTTGTCGTTTTGAGGCCATTATTACATTTATTAAGTACATAATGAATGTACGTATAATTGCAGCATGAACGTCGATGCAGATGCGATGAAATTATAAATAATAGAAGCGATTCGCCGTATTCTGTGTCGTTTGAAGTGTAAATAATAGATTGTTTTTCTCTCACTCGCATTTCGCTTCCACACTTTTAAATTTTTCATTCGGAGCCCAGTTAACAACAATTAAGTTCAATTATTCAGAGGTCCATGAATTAAGCAAGGTGTATTATTACTATGAATAATTGAATGGCGGAACGGACTGTAATGTCGGACGGACGGACATATCATTTCGCCACGGGTTACAATGAGGACGAAGACAGATCGATAAAGCCGTGAATGTAAAATAATAGACGTCGTTTATCGCGACCGTGAATTGATTGAGTCGTAAAGACGAAGTCGTCCTTCTTACACATCACATCACGTTACATCACCGTCACGGCACGGCAGTGATTCTTAGTTCTCTCTGGTTTTAGGTGGCTGCATCATCAGAGTCGAGGGTATCTCCGGAGATGGCAGGGAATCAAGTGACGAACGGTCACAGGACCGAGGACTTCGCCAAACACGTGTTTGGAGGTAAATAAAAATGATTTTCCTTTCATCCTTTTTATCTAATTCTTTACTTTCTTTCTTTCTGTTTTCTATAGCCGGAGAAGAGCATGGTAAGTTTTATGTAGAAATAACACAAAGCACTTAGAATTAGCAAAAACGCTCACTTGTAATTAGTTACTCGTCGAAGTTAGTTTAATTAAAACGCTTCTAGTGCGTAATCTAATTAGCGCGGAAACAAAGTTTTAGTAATTAAACCTCAATTACTTGTGTATAGTTATTAAAGTTTTTGTAATTGTTCGATATTTGCGGTGTGAAATGGAGTTTGCTGATAAAAGTTTTCGTTTATCTGTACATTTTGTATACGAAATTGAAGATAAAACCGGTTGGTTGCCATTATTTCTGGGTATTTCGAGCACCTTGAATTCTGTAGCGCAGGAAATTTGTCCTTTTTTACCCAGCGCATCCACCATACCATAACCTACATGTATTGAAAATAGCTTTTAAACTATTCAGTTGAAATTCGTTATTATTTTCAATTTTCAAATACATTTCTTTTATTCATCTAAAATTTATAAAGCAATAGTGCTGCTTCAATCAGTCCGGTTTGACAAACTCCAAAGTAACTAAATTCTAAAATAGCACACAAAATTCATTGTTTTTTCCACCTTTATACAAGTTATAAATTAATCAATTAGTCCGATTTCAATAAAAAAATCATTGAATTAAATTTGATTGACAAATTTGGACAAAGATTTGTTCAAGTGAATTAATCAATTATGTATTATGTAATATTATTTGTTAATAGTTAATAAGAATGTGTGAGCAATAAAAATTTATCGCACTCGGAATCAATAAATTATTACCGCTTTACAGGAAACAAACAATATTGTTATACCGCGATGGATCGAGGACTTGCTCCAACCTCGGTTAATGTTTAATGATATTGTTATTTTCGCGTTCACAATGTGTATGTTCATAGGATTTCTGAAGGACACGATTTATTTTTATTACAAAAAAAAAGAAAATTTATTTAATAATTACAGTGAAATATTATTTTCTTGATACCAATAATAACTATTTTATAGATCCAAATAATTTTTGAGAAATATTAATTAGTATTAGTATTTTATAAAAAAATTAATATATCAATTTTTTAATCAGAAAAATAACCTTTGGACCAGTAAATTTTATAAATAAAACAAACTTTCAGTTAAGAAAAGAATATATTTTCAAGAAAAGTTAAATTTAGTAACTTTTATTGATATAAAAACTTAAAATATTTATGTTTAATAACAATAATTTTGTGGTGTGTATTAGCGATTTTGTGTCTTCTTCTATTGAGTCTCTATCGCATCCAGTTTATTTACCTGCTGCACAAAACAAATAGGTGGAAAACATTTCGCTCTAATAAATCCGCGTTTCAGACCGAGATTAAATTTTTTCGGTTTCAAATCTACAGCTGAAAAAGTAGTAAATAAAAAGTGTTGGAAGGTTTGGAATTTATTGGAATTCGGGTGGAATTGTTTGAAGCGCGAGTGCCAATGTGACATTTCCGACGGTTATATTCGGGCCATAGGTCAAAGGCCACTCGAGATCAGTAGTAACAGAGGCTATATGAAAAACTAATTATATACTATGAGCGACTATGGAAATGGAACAAAAAAAAAGTGTTGGAAATTTGCGTTTTATATTTTTTTTTTGATGATCCGGAAAAAAATTGTGTAATTCTTTTTGTTTTGTTAGATTTTCACGTGAATATAATTCACGTACGTGTTAAATCCGTCAACGTTCATCCGTTGCAAAACGAGCGACAATGCGCGGCGCCGGTCTCGACTTTTCCCTTGTTGTTATGTTATCCTTTCCATCGCGACAATCCAACCATCGGCACGAATCGCGTCGGTAACAACATATGAATATTAGTATATTATCGACCACGTAATCGTTCATATACACGTTAAGCTACCTGCGCTATAGCCGGAAAGGTATTTCCCTGAGTCCACCGAAGGGTGATGACTACGAGCCAACAATTCGGTTACGAAATTATGGTCAATGGATACAATGCGCATCAAAGCAATCCGAAGCAACAGAGGCCTTCCTACGCCACAACCGTCAGCATGTACAGCAATGGTAATTAAAGATCTTGCATAGTTGAACCAAGGCACGTAGATTTCGGCATACCCCAAAAATGAAATGCGCTGCATTTTATCGACTTGATCCTGTTGTGAATAATTGATCCATCCGGTCGGTCTACGTGCCTACGTCCGAGGTTTTGGTTATTTATTCATCGCCGACAATAATCCATTTAACCCCACCACTATTTCCATAATTACTATTAATGAATTTCACAATGCATTACCTAATGCCCACCACCAATTACAGTTTCGACATTTGTAATTATCGCTGAATCACATACAAATTTATATTGAAACAATTGTACTAAACGAAATAACTAAACAATTTAACGCATTTTTAAATTATAAAAAGCCGTGAAAATATTTTAATGTAATCTTACTTTGAAATTTACGTTTGATGTAATTTTTTAAGTAAGGTTTATAATATTGGTTTATAAATGTAAATGGGTTCAAAACAGTAATTAATCAAATATTTGATTGACGATGATTGAACACGCATGCATGAGTATTTGTATATGAAAAATCTATTACAATTACCGGATTCTCGGTGCGTACATTAATTACATCCGAATTTAATAAACGGCATGATTTATTCAGTGCACGTAAATAATTAAACACAATTTGTAACTATTTCGGTTCAATCATTTATACATTTTTGTATGGCTATATTGATGATAATTCATGGAATTGCATTAAACGCGAATAAAATAATATTATTTTGAATAATTTACATAATAAATAAACTAAATGATCTAAATATGAACATGTATGTTTTAAATTAACTTGAGGAGTGGAAATTCTAATTTGATTGACATAACATAACAAAGTTGTAGTAAAAGTTTGCAGGATGTAAATAATTGCTGTCGAGGTTTGAGTTTACCTGATTTCCATTTCGAGTGGAGCAAAATGCGAAAGTTCGAAGCGAACGTTCCGAAAATCAACTCCATTTAGATTGTATACAGCTGAATTGTAATTAGTTTTGGAGAGATTGAGAAAAAAAATAATAATTCGATCGAATTTGGGATGATGATGATCCGCGCGTGCAGCTTGTCAACAAGCTGATTATTGCGGTTTCGACGTAATAATCCACTTGTTGTTGTTGTTGTCGGCAAATCGAAATGCAAATGAAGAGCCCCACGGGCCGATCGATGAGTGTTCAAAAAAAAAATTAATTACTAGGCGTAATTGAATTTACGTAAAATTCAAGATAATTAGGATAAGCAAAAGCTTTTTGTTTGAAGTGATATTTGTTTTAAAGGACGAAATGCAACATCAAAAGGATGTTTGTTGTACATCCACTCTGTGTACACTATACTTTTTTTTTGTTATTACGGTTTTATTGGGGCAAATGTAGGAAGGGTGCATCAAAGAATAATCCCTTGTCGATTCCCCTTTTTTGACATCCATACCAAGCCGATTATGTAACGTGAAATATCGTTATTTTCTACTTTACGCAAGACGTGCAATATTTTTTTTTTGCACTGAAATTATTATTATCATCGTGAACGTCTTTTATGATGCGACTGACTGAAACTAAGCTAAGTTTTACCATCTGCGAGAATTCAAGTTGTTGGCCCAAGGCGGTACTTCGACGTCTATTAAAGGTTGTTACATACTTTGAGCAACTGCAGCTGAAACTTTTCATTCTCGACGCGAATTAATTGGAATATTTCAGTAGTTGCTTCCGTTTGAAAACACACTTAATATCTTTTATGAATAAAATATGCATTATTTGAATATCTATTAATTTAAATATCGTTTGGTAAAAGTGAGCTTTTAGAAATATAAAGTTTTCTCAGTAAATTTCCGTCAGCATACTCAGATTTGTCTCAGTGCGGATTCACTATAGTCTTGTTTAATTGAATAAAATAAAAATTAATGTACTAAGAAATTGGCTCTTTTTGTACGGTTTTCATTTAGTTTCTCGATTAGTACGGTTTCATACAGTTCTGGATATTGACGGAACCGCGCATAGTACGGAGCTGTATTTAGAAGTATTTACGCATACAATTGGTAGTTTCTTTTCTATATGTTTTATGGAATGATATTAGATGAAATCAGAGCCAAAAAGCCTCATTTGGCAGAGAAAACCATTTTGTCGAATGAGGTCAATGCACTATGAACTTATTACACAAAAAGACTTGAAAATGGGTTTGAAATAAATATTTAAAAATTACATTTGTTTGTTATTTCATTCTTGCATTTTCACGGAAATTTTAAATATATTATATACAAAACATTTTTAATTGCTTTGCATTTCAATTGAATTGTATAAGAAAAAAAATAAGGGTGGTTTTCTAGTTTAATGAATGATACGAAATTATGAGTAATAATAAATTATAGAAATGTTAGGTTTCTCAGTAAAATATTTTGAATTGGAATTGTGTAATTCAGAATATTATATTTATGTAATCGAATTTTTCTTTGAAAGGAATTGAATGTAGTTTTCTTGTGTTATTCAAGTGTATTTTAGGAGGAAGATAATTAAAGTTTGGGGAGAGATGATACGAAATTGCGGAATGAATGTTACCTGTTACCCCACTGTTGGGGTGGTTTTGAGAACCGCCGTTGAGCTCGTTGCGCACAGCGACGTCACGTCCGGATGACGAGGATGCGGAGGAGGCGGCGGCGGCTGTGGCGACGGCAGGGGGAGGCACAGAGGTTCGGGCGCCGCGACGCCTCGCTCTCGCAGTGTTGCATTCAGCTGCTCGACGGGGGGAACGTTTCGCGCGTTTCCGGATCTCAAATAGCAAAGACGAAAAAAAAAAAGAAAAGGAAACAATCGAAGAATAAGCAACAAGCAACCCTCTTTGATTTCGCCCCAAAGCCTGCGATAATTAGAGCCAGGGAATTGGTATAATGACCGAAGGTTAGTTATTCGTTCTAAAACTGTAATTTACTTCTTTCTATTCATTCATTAGTTTTTCAAATTAGTTTAATTGAAATTATTTTTCTACAAATTTTATATATTTTTTTTCAACTCATTTTTGAGCTTTTTAGGAAAATATTTTATTATAGAAAATAACAA